CCCCAAAACCCCAAAACCCCAAAACCCCATTGGGTCAATTCGTCTTTTAAAATCATAAATAATTTTATTTAAGGTTTTAATTAAAAAATTGGATAGTTGGGTGTTAAAGATGATCATTTGATAAATTTTGATTTCATTTTGATACCTTTAGTTGAACTTGCCTTCTAGGTGGAAGGGGAGAGAAGGTTTTGTAGTCCATTCCTGCAAAGGGTGAATTGGCTAAAATGGCCTCAACTTTTCCTTCAATTTCTCTATCCCATTTCTTATAGAGTTCAATGGCTCTTAGATTTTCATCTACGTATGATAACTTAGAAAATCCTAAGATCAAGGTACTCACGTCTTAATTTGCCAAGGCCCAAGCCAAAGCTAGTTAAGGCTAAGTATATCCAATTGAATCAGCAAAGACTTTCAACTTCTTAAGGGTTGCGATGCTCTTCTCTTTCTTGTCTGGAGAGAAGAACATATTGAGAGCGAAATCCTTGTAGGTTGGATCAGTAACAAACCTACTATCTTCAGGGGGAATTCCGTTATTGTATCTCCCTGAAAGAATACCCATTGCTAGTGGGGACCAAACAGTAGATCCATACTGGAATCTGTCAAAGATTGGACCATATTCCTTTTCAAATTTCTCTCTAACAAGCATGTTATAGTTTGGCTGTTCAACTACAGGAGCATGAAGTCCAAGCTTATCACATAATTGAATGGCTTCAGAGATTTGATCAGCAGACCACTCAGATGTACCCCAATAAAGTGCATAATTGTGATCAATTATCCATGAGAATGCCTTGCAGGTTTCTTCGAGAGGTGTCTGATGATCATATCTATGAGCGAAAATGATATCAACGTAATCCATTTGCATTCTCTTCAATGATGCTTTTGTACCTTCAATAACCTTCTTTCTTGATAATCCTCTGTTATTTGGACCCACAGCTCTTCCTAATCCACCATCTCCAAAGAAAAGCTTTGTAGTGACTACTATATCCTTTCTGTTGGTATTAAGATTCTTAAAACTTTGACCAAGTAATTCCTCTGATTTACCTCCTCCATAGCTTTCAGCAGTGTCAAAGAAATTGATTCCAAACTCAAGGCATTTAGCAACGATCTAATCACTATTCTCTTAAGCATTCTCTCCATAGTGATTAACCATATTTCCAAAAGAAACGATTGACACCTTGATACCAGTATTACCTAGGTACCTATACTCCATGATGTTTTTATCAAGAGCTTCCTATTGAATTGTTGCATTTCTTGATGATTATTCAAGTGCTAGTTGATCTCTTCTATTTTTGCAAGCTTATTGACCCATATGTATTTTTAACTTATTTAGTAATAAATAGATATTTATATATCTTTAGGTTAATTTATTGTCCTTAAATACTAAAAATAAATGACGTATATTCCTAATGTGACAGTTTGTTAATACTATTCATGGGGTTTTGGGGTTTTGGGGAGA